TCAAATTCCAGATGAAACTCCAGCCTGAAGGGTGCTGGGCCCCTGGGGAGCTCTTACTAACTGCCCGCCCCCCATGACATGACTGACAAAGGGGAAGAGACGGACCCAGTGGGGTCACAAGGTGGGAAACGGTTCTTCTCGCCCCTCCCTAGAGCATCTGCCCTTTGGAGTTAGACCTGGTACCTCATCCTCCTCGCAAGGGGTGTGGCCCCTCCCAGTCCTGCCCCAGTGCTTATCACAGGTACATGACCTTGAGGCTGACACTAACCAGGCCTGGAACCTCCTCAGGGTTGGGAGAAATTCAGCACCAGCAAACCCCGTGGGAGACACAGGAGGGCATCCAGGAACCAAGCTCCGTTTGGAGCTGGTGGCCTCCTGCTCCACCTGCTTTTCAGGGTCTCACAGACACACGGGGGAGCCTCCGCTCAGCTCTAGGGAGTTTATTGCTGTTGGAGTGGCTTCCTGAGGAGGTGCCCGGTCTCTGGCCTCGGGCCATCCAAGGCTGACGCTGGTTTCTGTGGTCATGGGCAGCCTCAGGCTACAGGGTGAGCAGGGCTGCCTTCTGGACGCTGGGTTGCTGCCGGCCAGGGGAGAGAGGTGTCCCCCCTCACCACTTGCCGTGGGGCTCCCTGTCCACCTGGAACAGCCCTATTCCCTGGCCAGCCTGCTCTTCCTCCTGGACGTCCTGCTCTTCCTCCGGGGCAGCCTTCCCTTCCTCCGGAACAGCCTTCAGTTCCTCCATTAGGATGTTATACAAGGAGTCCGGCTAGAACAAAGGGTTGCAGGGGCGAGAGGTGGGTAGCTGACCTGGGCAGGACCGCCTGAGGCTCCCAGCAGGGAGCTGGGCTGGGAGGCAGGGAGGAGGCATGGAAAAGGAGGGGGTCCTGGCTGAGGGCCTCACCAGGTTTTGCAGCTTCTCCCTCAGGGCCACAGTGTCTGCTTGAATAGTGCTCAGTGACTCCTGAAGCCTAAGTTGAAAGAGATGCCCCCTCAGTCCCCAGGCTCTTGTCCTAGGCAGCCCCACCCCGCAACCCATGCCTCCTGCGTGAGCTGGGTAACCTGGCACAGCCACCTGAGACCAGGGTCTCACCCACAGTCCAGTCTTATTGAGGGGAACCAAAGTTTACCGCCCCAAATATGCCTTTTGGGATATTGATTTTTAACTGGTTATTAAGAGATTGCCCAATAAGCAGACATGTGGGCACACAGTCAATTGCTGTGGAAGAGTTGTGGCCCCCACACCTGTAGGGCACCAACATACTAGGACATGATGCTTGGGAGGAAAGAGACCTGCGGGCCAAGGAGGTCTCCAGAGTAGAACAGGGAAGGAGAGAATAAAGAGGGGCAAGAAGGTGCAAGCCTGCAACCATCAAGCCCCGGGCCAAGACCTCCTTGGGGAAAAGTCCTGTCACCCTACCTGCCTGCACCTGCCCAGACCTGGCTCACCTCATGCAAGCATTCTGCAAATGGTTAATTTCCTTCAAGGTTTGCTGGGTGCCCCAGTCTTCCTTATCCAGGAACCGGCTCTCCAGGATCTCCAAGTCCCTAGGATAGGTTTGCAGTGAGGGTAGGACTGGAGGACCAATAGGCTGGGAGAGAATTCGGTGGTCAGAGAGGTGGGGCAGCCCAAGGCCCAGGCTCCTTCAGTCCTATCTCAGCTTCCCCTCTGCCCACCCCAGGGCTGAGTCCTGGCCCAGATCTGAATGCTAATATGGGGGTTGGGAGTAGGGAGAGAAGCACCATGGGCCTCCCTCCCCTTCACACACTCACACAGACTTACTCTTGAGGTTCTTTGGGCTCAGGGGGCTCCACTGAGCTCAGGAGTGTAAACAGGAACTTGACCGTGGGTTCTGGTTGCGGGTCCAGTGTTGACTCTGAAGAAGATGGCTTTGGCAGAGAAGGTGTCATGGTGACCAAAGTGACATGGGGCTGGCAGCCCAAGAGCTTGGGTCGTCCCACACCCTGCAGCGATGGCTGGGAGTTCGGCTCTCCACCCAGCAGGGAAAGAATTTCTCCAGCCCTCCCACCACCTCTGCCCAGCTCCCCACACACCTGAGGGTCTTCCAGGTTCTGCTGCTCAACAGGTTGCACCACTGGCTTCTCAATGGGCTCAGAATGGGCTCCTCAACTGCTCTGGGGAGACTGAGGAAAAGAAGCCCAGTTGGTGAGCCACATCCATCAACCCATGGGCTCCCCTTTCCAGCCTCATCTGGTTATCTTGGGGCAGCCTCCAGCCTGGAGAGTCTCCATCACCAATTCTGTCCAGCAACCAGATCCCTGCAAACGCAAGGGATGGGGTGGGATTTGGGGGCTGGGATGGCCCTATTTAATGGAACCCTAGAGAGACTTGTAAAAAGTGGAGAATGCTTCTCATTGTTGGTATAGAAATCATCTGTTAGTTGGACATTGAGAAGTAATTAATATGGCATTCAAGACCCTCTGTTATGAACATCATTGGTTCTAACCCACATGATACTCTGCTCATACCAGCCAGGAGTCTCACTTCCGACACCAGGCCAAACCTTCCCCAGGGCCATGCACTTGCCCATAATGTTCACCCCTCTCCCATTCCCAACCCCTCTGCAATGTGAATTCAGACCATACTTTTCTCTGCTGAGCAAAATTGCTTCCCCTGGGATTCCCTAGCTGGGTTGGCAGAGGAGCTGGAGCTAGGCTGAGCCTGAGAATGCTTCTGAGGGACCAAGCTGAGCTTGAATAAAGACTGTATGCTTTTGCATTGGACTCGGCGCTCCCTGGTGGTGTCCTTTGGGGGATCTTGAAATCTGGGCATAACATTTGGGGGCTCGCCGGGACCCCCAAGACCCACGAGGGACCCTGATCCGGAGAGTCTGACTGACCGCGGTAGGTGTCTGTGTGTTGTGTATTCTGTTCTGTGTGTTATATGTTCTGTCCTGTGTTGTGTGTTCTGTCCTGTGTGAGCTCATTTCTGAAATTCTGTAATGCCGAAGCGGTCTAGGTGGACGCACTGCTGAAAGTCCACGGGCGGGGAGAGTCAGACCTTCTGCTCTCACTTCAGGAGGGATGTGGAATCCCCTCACAAGGATCTGAGATGAGGCGGGTCGCTCCTGCCATTCGGTTTTGCTTCCGCGGAGTCGGAAGGCTGGTTTTTGGGGCTTTTTGGTTGTCTGTTTTTGTGTTTTTCTGTTTTATTCTGTGGACTTACTGGACGGACATTATGGGACAGACTCAGACTACTCCTTTAAGTATTATGATTGATCATTTCAAAGAGATTAGGGGAGGCTATAGAGCTCCCTCAGGAATTGGGAAATTGTTAGGAATTGGGTGGTTTGTTTAAACTCCGAGTGAATGTCTGGTGAAAGTGTGTGAGTGTGGAGGGAGGGGGCCTGCCCTCTCCTCTCCTTTGTGTGGCTCCACTACTTCAGTTACAGAGTCCGAGTGGGCCCCAACCTGCGGTTCCGCGATTCGTCATATGGCAAAATGGTGACTCATCCCCATGTGGAGGTGATCAGGCCCAGGGTTTATACGGGTGCACCTTAGATAAGGTGAATCTAAGCTCCCAAGGGACACGGCCAGGCGGGCATCTGAGTGAGGATCTGTGAAAACAGGTCACCCCTCCCTTGTCTGTCTCTCGTCACTGATCATCATGGGGTCGAGACAAAGTAAACCTATTGTTCTTAATTACATGTTAAAAAATTTTTAGCCGAAGCCAGTTTGGCTCAGTGGATGGAGCGTCGGCCTGCAGACTGAGGGGTCCCAGGTTCGGTTCCGGTCAAGGGCATGTACCTGGGTTCGGGCACATCCCCAGTGGGAGATGTGCGGGAGGCAGCTGATCGATGTTTCTCTCTCATCGATGTTTCTGACTCTCTATCTCTCTCCCTTCCTCTCTGTAAAAAATCAATAAAATATATTTTAAAATTTTTTTTAAAGGGATAAGTTCAAGGCTAAAATAAAGGCTGGCTAGTTTCCAAGATTGCTTAGTTCTGAGATTGCTTATAAAAAAGCAAGAAAGAAGTCTTTTCAAGTTAACTATTTGCTTAGCAAATTAACAAAGTAGTAAATTTCAAAGAACTTGTTATTTATGGTTTTCTTATCTCTTTGGTGGACACAAAGGGCTTACAGCTCCGCAGGATGGAGAGATTTACTGGCCCTAACCCTGCCTGTGACGCGTTTTGTTTGACTTGCTATTTTCAATTGTTTATTAGAATCCTCATAGAGAACATAACCTGGTCTTTCCCTTCCTCCCTCATCCTGATTCTGAAAGCATCTGTAACTGGATTTCAGGTGGTCTCCAGGCTTTCTGTCTGCAAGAAATCTCCCTATGCACCCGTTATCTTTCCAGGCCGACTAAGAGTCATATTTCCCCACAGGTCGGACCCCAGCCTCCGGGAGGGAGGGCTACTATAGGAGCAGTCTGTAGTTTTCTTCGAAACTCCCACTGTTTAAAGGGAGACAAACAACTGGACTGGGGGACGGGGGAATTGGTCGGAGAGAGATCAAGAGTAAAGAAAAGAGAAAAAAAATCTGTGAGGGAAAGCAATGGGCCTGGGCTGAGAGAATGGGGGCGGGGGTGTTGGCAGTTATGTTACTGGCTGCAGACCTAACAGGTCTTATCAATGAACTTCAAGGTCACAACAAGTTCTCTGTAAGCACAATTAGTCTTTCTCTGCCCTGGTTTATTCTTTTTAACCCTTCCAATGCTAAATTAAACTGATACCTGTTCTTAGTTTTGTCTAAGAATAAAAAAATTCTAATATATTAAAAACAGCTAAACTCCCAGGAGAAAAGCGGAGGAGGAACAAAGCTGAAGTCTGCAGCCACCCTGGTGATTTAGAACTGTTTTGCTAGGCAGACTCAGCCCCTGAGAGCCAGGTCAAAGAAGGGGGCGCTGGATGCCTGAGCTGCCCGCTGCGGCCCTGAAAGAAGAAGCAGCAGTGAGAGAGTGGGGAGAACAGGGGTTGTTGCTGGCGGTGTAGCTAAGGGTGCTGGGCGCGCCTGCGGCGCTTCGGGCGGTGCTGGTTATGGCGTCGCCACTGGCACCCCGACGGGACCGTGTGGGCCTAGAGAATAAGGACCGCTGGGAGGCGCGGGGGGGGGGGGACCGCAAGGCCCAGAAGCCCCTGGTGGAGAAGAAGCGGTGCTCCCAGATCAATGAGCGCCTACAGGAGCTGCGGCAGCTGCTGGCGGGCACTGAGGTGAGGCTGGCAGCCCAGTGCCCAGGGGCTGCTGAGCAGGCGGACGGGGGTCAGGGCATTGCCTGGCCTCACCTCCCTTCCCCACCTGGCGCCCCCACTGGCGCAGGTGCAGGCCAAGCTGGAGAATGCCAAGGTGCTGGAGCTGACGGTGCGGTGCGTGCAGGGAGTGCTGTGGAGCAGGGCTCGTGGGCTCGAGCAGCTGCAGGCAGAAGCCAGCGAGCGCTTCGCTGCTGGCTACATCCAGTGCATGCATGAGGTGCACATGTTTGTATCCACGTGCCAGGCCATCAACGCCACCGTCGCCACCCAGCGCCTGAACCCCCTGCTTAAGTCTATGCCACTGCGAGAGGACAGCAGCTTCCAGGATTTGCTGGGGGACGCTCTGGCCAGGCCCCTGGGAGACCCTACTCGAAGCAGCTGGCTCACAGGAGGGGCTGATATACCCTTCCAGTGCACTCCCTTAGAAGAGGCCTGGTTGCTGCTCTGCCACAAAGGGAACTGGTAGAAAGGCAAGAAAGCAGGGCCCTGTAACTAATAAACAGGGTTAACAAAAAGGACACTCTCCCTGGACCTGGGAGCCATCAGGAATTTGAAATTCTCCAAGAGAGGAGGAGTCTGACTCAGAGACTGGCTGAAACCTCATTGGGTTAGGAGAACTGGAGGCTGCATATTGAACTTATAGACTGCGGTTTGCTGGGCAGAGGTCCAAGCCCAGTTGTATAGGGGTTAAGCTACCTGTATACAGCAAAACAACTTTCTCCCGTGCCAGAATACATTTTAAGGAAATTGGACAGACTGTGTTTATCACTAGAAAGAAGAACTAGCCGCAGTGCACAGCCCTGACAGTGACCTGCAGAAAACTGTATAATAGACTCAGATGATGCCTGCATCTACATAGACATAGCTCCAAAAAGACAAGGATAATTTTGCCTTATAAAGGCAAGGTCAAGAGTAGACTTTAGTCACCTCCCTAAGATTATTGTGTAGCCCTACCATATCTCATGTGTAGTAGCAGAAGATTTAACTGCCTGAAGCAGCCATGGTGCCAATATTATGTTTCATTGTATTAATATGTTGTATTAACCTTCAATTCTCTTACAGGTTTGAATGTAGCTGTAGCTGCCAGCAGTTGCCATAGACCAGTGATAGTCTACAGTTCTTGGTAGTCTTTGGAAGTAACTGGCAAGTGTCCAGATTCCCACACTAAGGGCCATTGTTATGGCTATATGTTAGCTGTCCTGGAAGGAGGCTATGTGGGATAAACCCAAAAAGTAAAGGGTGTCTAGCTGCCAAGAGGGCAAGTGCCCAACTGGGCAAAGAAGAATACCCATCAGGTTTTGGTCTCTATTGAGAGACAGTTGACAGTTGGCAGCCTGTATACTGTCTTGCAGGCCTGTGTGACCATGCCCATGTCAGGGGTGGTACAAACCTCAACTGTAGAAAACTGGGAAAAGCCTGTTTGGAATAGAAGGTTTGAGGCATAGTTATGCATTTTTAAAGAACATGGAAAGAAGGTTTAAAGGCTAATTTGAAAGTATGAAATTTAGAAAGGTTGTGTATGTAATAAGAAGGAGAAGAGAAATGTTGAAAGGAAATTAATCAAATAGTACAGGCCAGTAAGCCAAAGAGAGTAAATAATTTTCAAAGTACTTAGGGGGGACTGATAAAAGAAATCCAACAGTTACCGTTTTGTTATAACTCTGAAGAGTCCATGAAAAGGAACTGGCAAGAAAAATCAGAAAATCTTAGAGCAGATCAGAATATTTTTCTCCTTATATAATTCCTCTGAAATTTGGCAATGCTAAATAAGTCATGGCAATACATTTCTTTGCATGAAATCAATAAGACCAGTTTTCAATAGTGATTTTATTAACCGGAAACTTTGACTGGAGTATCATGTTTTAAGGAGCCCTGTCTGAGCTCTGAAGACTTGAAGTCAATAAAAGTGCCACAGGAAAAGCCTGGTATCCTGCTTGGGAGCCCTGAAGATGGCTGGCACTGGAGCGTCAGGCCCATGCCCTACCATCACCGGCGGTTGGTCAGAGTAGAAGGGGAGCAATAAGGATGCCTCTGCGTCCCTGCGGAACCCCCCCCACACACACACACACACTGGGCTGCAACGAGTAGGAGGGCTACTGAGATGGGCCTTAAAGCCTAGAGCGTGGGCTCAGGTGGAGTTGCTACAGGTGAGGGATTCACCTATCTCAGCAGATACTGCAGGCAGGCCTGATGGCAGCTGGATGGCTTGGCTTCCTGGCCCTACGGGGTACATTAAGATTCAATCATGAAATTCCAGCAAAGGTAGTCAGTTACCATTCTTGTTGTGTTTATGCAAACATCAGGCCAAATTGAATACAGTAGATAAATTAGTCTTGATTTGGCTTTTTGATAGCCATAGAGGAATTTTAAGAAGAAAAATCCTATTTCAATAGAAGTTGTTAAACCTAAAATGGTTTCTTTCCCTTCCACTGGACCATTTGTTATAGTTTGTCTCTGCCAGGTCACAAGCCCAGCTCCTTCTGTGCCCAGGACAGCAGGGAGCCTGAGTGGAAGGTGACCTCTAACCAGACACACCCGCTGCAGATCACCCTCAAGAAGACAGCGGACCTCGCCGGACCTCTTGTAATCCTCCTAATGCTGTTGACTTTCGGCCCTTGCATTATTAACAGACTAGTCCAATTTGTCAAGAAGCGTATAGGGGTGGTTCAGTTAATAGTTCTGCATGCCTAGTACAGGCCTCTAGCAACGGTGAAATAGAAATGCAGTCCGTCTCATGATTGAGCCAGAAGTTCCAAGACAAAGGGGGAATTAAAGGACAGAACGGGACTGATACCTGTGTCCCTAACTCCTCTTCCAATAAAAAAAGCCATAAAATGTATCAGTTACTCAGCCTGCCCTTATCTCAGCCAATAGGAACGCAAGGAAACTAGCCCAAGGCCAAAAGTATGCTAGCCAACCCCTGTCTTTGTGTAACTAGACCAGGGGTGGGCAAACTTTTTGACTCGAGGGCCACAATGGGTTCTTAAACTGGACCGGAGGGCCGGAACAAAAGCATGGATGGAGTGTTTGTGTGAACTAATATAAATTCAAAGTAAACATCATTACATAAAAGGGTACGGTCTTTTTTTTTTTTTTTAGTTTTATTCATTTCAAACGGGCCAGATCCGGCCCGCGGGCCGTAGTTTGCCCACGGCTGAACCCTAACTGCACCCTACCCCTGCGTCACTAGCCCCCGGCCCTCACTCAACCAACCAGAATCGGGCAAATCACTGGTCTGAGTGAGCCCTCACTCCCCCTTCCCCCGCCCCCGACCTCAAGCCCTATAAAGTCTTTGTTCTTTCAAAACTGCGGGCTCTCTCGCATCCTACCTCTGCACCGGTAGAGGCAGAGGGAACAAGCTGAGCTTGAATAAAGACTCTATGCTTTTGTATCGGACTCGGCGCTCCCTGGTGGTGTCCTTTGGGGGATCTTGAAATCTGGGCATAACACTGGTAGCAGAGGTATGTAGTTGCCACTGGAAGTCCCAAAACATTTACTCTCTGGCCCTTTGCAGAAAATTTGCTGACCCTGGATCTACAAAATGGGGAAAATAGTCTCCAGGGAAACAGGGGAGCATGACAGTAAGGCTGACAGGGCCAGGTTATTGTTCGACGGGATCGGTTGATAGAGAGGAACCCGAGGCGGGGTTATCCATTTTGCAGAAGCGGGTCTCCACAGCCAAATGAGGACCCTGACGTGCGCAGGATCCTGGGGAGGCGTGGCTCTGCTCCTGGCCGCCCCGCTGCAAAGCGATTGGTTGTGGGAGGCAACTACAAGCCGGTGCATCATGGGAGTGGTCCGGGCTGTGCGGGGGCGCATTATGGGGGCATTTGCGGTCCTGAGCGTGCGGCGCTGAACTACAGCGCAGTGCATCTCGGGAGGCCCCCTCCAAGCTTTGTGGGAAGCAACTGACTCGGTGAGAGGAGGGCGGTTGCCGACGCCGGCGGGGACGTTTACACCCCGCCCAGTCTTCTCCGATCCTCCGTCGGCTCGGCGTGCCCCCCACTTCCTGCAGGATGGGGCGAGGGGCCGCCGCCGTCCTCGGGATGCTGAGCGCCCATCCTCTCTCCCCAGCCCACCATGTCCGGCTGCGAGCTGCCTGTGGGCACCTGCCCGGACATGTGCCCAGCCTCCGAGCGCGCCCGACGCAAAAAGGAGGGCCGCCTGCATCGCTTCGAGGTGGCGCCGGGCTGCTGCGGGAGCTGGCCCCGCGCTGACCCGCAGCGCGCCGTGAAGGAGTACAGCCGGCCGGCCGCCGGCAAGGCCCTGCCCCCGCCGAGCCAGCTCCGGCCGCCGGCCGTGCTGCTGGCCACCGTGCGCTACTTGGCCAGCGAGGTGGCGGGACGCACCGACGCATCGTGGCGGACCGGCTGCGCGCCGTGCGTCTGGACCTGGCCCTGCAGAGCGCGGGCGACGCCGAGGCAGCGGTGGTGCTGGAGGCGGCGCTGGCCGTGCTGCTGGCCGTGGTGGCGCAGCTCCGGCCCAATGCCGCGTACGGGCTAGTGGACCGGGCGCTGCTGCAGGGCCAGGTGCAGGAGGGCTTCGGTTCGCTGCGGCGCTGCTACGCGCGGGGCGCAGGGCCGCACCCCCGCCAGGCCGCCTTCCAGGGCCTCTTTCTGCTCTATAACCTGGGTGAGTCGGGGCCCCAGCGGCGGGACAGGACGCGGAGGTCCCGTATGTGGACAGTGGATGCCGGGAAGGAAAGAGAAGCTTTCAAATCTCACCCTTAGCCCCTCCCCCTCCCTGCCGCTTAAATGTGTGTCAAGTCAGAGCACGAGATCCACCAACCAAGACATTTAGATCCTTTCTGTGGATGGAGGGTGCATTCTGATAAGTAATATTCTATTTAAATGTAATAAAATGCTGTTGACTTCACCACCCACTAATGGGTCAGAGGCCTCAGCTTACAAAAGCGGCCAAAGGTCCCAGGTGTCTGATTCTTGGAAGGGAAGCAGGGGCAGTATCTCCTCGAAGAAATGGCCTTGCCAAAGGGATAGGGAAGATGGTGCCGAGCCGGGGCCCTGACCTGTGGGGCAGGTGGGGCAGTGGAGAAAGAACTGGGTTTCAAGTCAGAAACCTGGGATTTGATTGCTCTGGTCCTACTACATACGAACTGTAGGACAGTTCAAGTCTCAGGCGAGTTGTTAAATTATCTGGGCCTTTCCCCCTCATCCATGAACACTGCTTCGCTTTATTATAAGGATCTAAACTGTTTGAAGGGGCAACCTCAGTCAGATAGGGCTCAGGAAGGGCTGATGGGAAAGGTGAAGGTGGGCTTGGCCTAGGGGAGGGGCGTGGCCAGGTGGGTGGGTAGCAGGACTGAGTGGGGAGGTGGGCTTGGTGGAGGACTGGAGCCCCTGGGGGCTCAGGTGGGTGGGGGCGGCAGAAGCGGATGGGATGAAAGCTGGGCCTGGTCCTGGCAGACTCGTGTGGTCCTCATCCCAGCTTTCTGCCCTCACAGGCTCAGTGGAGGCCCTTCACAGTGTTCTGCAGCTGCCAGCTGCCCAGCGCTCCTGCCCAGCCCTACGGACGGCCCTGGCTGTGGACGCAGCCTTCCGGGAAGGCAATGCTGCCCGCCTGTTCCGCCTGCTCCGCACCCTGCCATACCTGCAGAGCTGCGCCGTGCAGTGCCACGTGGGCCATGCCCGCCGCAGAGCCCTGGCCTGCCTCAATCGTGCCCTGAGCACCCCCAAGGGCCAGACCTTACCCCTGGGATACATGGTCCACCTGCTGGCCCTGGATGGGCCCGAGGAGGCACGGGACCTGTGCCAGGCCCATGGACTGCCCTTGGTTGGACAGGACAGAGTTGTGTTCCAGAGGGGTCACTATGCTGAGGAGGGGCTGCCGCCCGCGGGGTCCTGCAAAGTGTTGGTGGGAAGCAAGCTTGGAGGGCGCTCCCTGGAGGAAGTAGTCATGGCGGAGGAGGAAGAGGTGGGTGGGGACAGGTCCAAGCCCCTTGAGTAAGGAGATACTGTGCAGTCTCCCAGAGCCCAGGACCGGGTCTGAGCACTCAGGCCCCTTTTCTCATGATTCCCACACAATAAAAGGAACTTGTTTTGTAAGGACAGTAGCTAGGCTTGATTTATTTGGGGAAGGGCAGGAAGGAGTTGAGAAATGTGAGGTATGAGGGTGGAGGAACCCAGAGTGGGCAAGGCCCTATTTGCCCTGGGCCTCAGTCTCCCTGCTGGTCCCTGAGGAGTAGCCCTGGTGGACTCGGAGCTGGCATCTAAGGTTGGCATGCATACTATCCTCACCCACCCACCACCAAGAGCAACAAGGTTTTGCCATTCCCACCATCCCTGCCTCCTTTTCTCTACCCTCTCAACCAAGAGCCAGGATGAGGGAGATTCATTCAGGGCTTGTCACTCCCCTCAGGTGACCACAACTGGCAGGGCCCTGAGCTGTTACCCAGAAGCTGGAAAGGATCCCATAGTGTGACCTCCCTTGGCATCAGGGAAGACTGAGACACCCAAAGAAAACGAGTGGGGAGAGGGTTCAGATTAAGGGGGGGTAGTGGTGAGCGGAGGAAGGAGGGCTGGGTTCAGAGGTCAGCCACGGGCCTCATGGTGGCTGCTGCACCCTCCAGGGCCGCCACCACAATGCTGAGCTGCCTCTGCACCTCAGCCCAGGCTGCAGATCCTGGGTCTGTGTCGATGGCCCTGATACAGGCATTGGCCAGGCCTGGGAATGTAGCTACGACGCTTTTACGAGGAGCCCAGAGCACGTGGCTACCAGGAGAAATAGGGAGCATCAGGGTTATTTGCTTCAGCCTGGAATGGGCTCAGCTCCTGGACAGAGCCAGGCACAAAAGCACCTCCCACTGCCTCTAAAAGCTGCGGCTCTTACTGGTAGCAGAGGTAAATTCTAGTCCCAGCGTGACCGTGACTGATTTTCATCCCTTCCTTTGAGCCTGATTCCCTTAAAGGCCAGTGAAATGCTGGCATTCTCCTCCCTCGGTGCCCATTACCCAGCCTCACCCCACTGCACCTCCCAGGAGCTTTGGGACAGGCTCACCTATAGTAGCGTTCCTCTGGGAAGGCTCGAGGGTTCAGGAAGGCCCGTTCCAGGAGCATCAACTGGTCATTGAGCATCCGTACCTGCAGGGGGCTGGAGGTGGCAGGACTTGCTGGTCACTCTGGAGCCAGCAGCCCAGCTGCCAGCCTGCATCTTGCCCTGGATGCCGCCCTCCCAGGCACCTGCTTGCTGCCCTTGCTCACTCGAAGGTGCCCTTCTGCAGCGCTGATATGCGTTGGCCCAAGGCCACAGCTGCCCCCTCGAACTTCTCCACTGCAGTCACCAGAGGCCCTGTGGGGACAGCCAGCATCTTAGCCCGGGGAATTCAGGCTTCCCTGTGCCTCCTGTCAGGGGGCCTTCATACCCAGGCTGATGTTGTGCTTCTCCAACAGGGCCCCCAAGGACAGCTGGGCAGCCTGCAGGAAGCTTCGGAGGGTCTCACTGTAGTCACTGACGTTGAGAGGCAGGAAAAGGCTGTCACTGAGCCGAAGAAGCACGTTCCCCGCCGTCCTGGCCACGGCCCGGTGGCTGCTGAAGCCTGCAGAGAGGGCGACGAGGCCAGGGCTCAGTCTTCAGCCCGTCCTCCTCCAGCCTCAGGATGCTCTTGACCCCGTCCTCACCGGGGTCCACAAACTTGTCCACGTAACCAAAGGTGTCGAAAGCCGTGTGGTAAGTGGGGTAGATCCGGGCTGAGGTCTTGCTCTGGAGAAACAAAGTCCAGAGGTGACAGGCTTGAGATGGGCAGTGGGAGGAGGTGGGCCTACAGTGAGCTACAACATATATACATTCCCTGAAACCATTGCCCATCCATGAGGTAGTTCCTAGAATTCCCACTTTACAGAAGAAGAAACTCATGCTCAGAGAGGTTAAGTAACCTGCTTGATATCACACAGCTAATAAGTGGCAGGGCTGGGTCAGGTGCCAGTTTCCTGTTTCACATGAAGAAGAGCCCAGAGCTTTGGAGTTGGACAGGATTTAAATCTACCTTCACTACCCAGGAACAGGAAGGGAGAGACTTTTGGAGACACAGGCTGGGTATTCTATAATCCCCTATCTCATTCACTCTCACACCAATGCATTTAATCTATCCTGAGATAAACTTTTCTCCTATTTTAAAGATTCTGGAATCAAGATGCTTACAGTCAGTGTTCTACGCTTAACTGGCAGTGCAGTTTCCCCCCTCCTGAAGAGTGCCTGTCATGTGCATCTTACAGTCAATAGCATCTTAAATTTGATGTTAGATGAGCCTAAGCAGATTCCCTGAGAAGAAAGTTGGGCGAGGTAGCACAGCTACTGAGTGAGTGATGGAGCCGATTCAGACTGCTCTAGAGAAGCCAGGAGAGGCGGGGCTGGCGAGTGGAGCAGAGTACAGAGCTGGGAGACGGAGCGGTGCGGCTCACCTGGTCATAGGTGTAGGTGATGTCCATGGAGGAGATGCCCAGGAAGTGAATGAAGGGCGCGTAGTCGCTGCCAGCACCCAGAGAGCCCACGCTGCGGGAAGGAAGATGGATGGGCTGGAGGCTGCTGGGCCGGCCCGCCCGCCTGGGCCCCGGCCCCGGCCCCGTTCCGGCCCCGGGCTCACCTGGGGACCAGGCCATACACTGGACTGCTTCGGTTGAAATGCCGGATCCAGTTGTCGTAGATGCTGAGGCTGCCCGGGCCTGGTGCGGGGATCTGACCGGAGGGGAATGTAGTCTCGGGGTTGGCCCCTCCCAGACCCAACAATTAACGGGTCCTCTGCCCGGCCCACCCTAGTCTCCAGCCAACGCACAGTCCTGCGGGTCCTACAAGGCCCGCCTCCGGTCTCAGTCCCACCCCCAGCCCCCGCCCACAATCAGGGCCAGCTCCAGCCCCGCCCACAATCAGGGCCAGCTCCAGCCCCGCCCACCCCGTAGCCCCGCCCCCGGCCGTCCGCCCCGCCCCCTTCACCTGTTTGGCTGCGGAGAAGATGACGCTTTGGACCGGGGGCGTCCCCTGCGCCCTCAGGGTGGCGTTGGCTGTGGGGGGACCAGAGAAGGGCTCTACCCCGACCCCAGCCCCTCTATCTGCCCCCTCCCCAGGCAGCCCAGTCTCCCCCATACCAAACACCGAGATGTCCACGTTGATGTAGGCCACGGCGCGCTCCTGCAGCTTGCAGAAGAACTCCTGCGGGGAGGGGCGGCGTCAGCCCGGCACTGCCCGGCCCGCGATCCCCTTGATCGCCGGCCCTGGAGGCTCACTCACCTCCGTGAATTCTGTGGAGCCAATGAGCCCAAACTCCTCTGCCCCCCAGCTCGCAAACACGATCGATCTGCGGGGGCGCCAGGTTCCTGGGGCAGGGATACAGGGTTAGAGGGCAGGGCCCCCCAGATCCTGGGGTGACTCAGAAAGGTTGGGGACGTGGAGAGGGCGGAGGGCTGGAGGTCGGTCCTGGTACCTCTCCAGCCAAGTCTTCCCAGAGGCTCCCTCCTCTGCTGTGACACCCCACCAGCACCCCAACATTGCCCTCAACACCAGTATCCCTCAGTCAGGTGGTCCCCTCCCCGGGCGCCCTGCCTCCCTCTTCGTTAGAGGCGCGCTTGAGAAGGCCTCCTGACCCTCCAGCTCCAACTCCCTTCTCCGCCCACCATCCTAGAAACACTGGCCCACAGGCTTCCCCTGGGGAAGCCCTCAGATAGTTTCTTTGTAGCCATCACACTTGTCCTTACACGCAGGCGCTCTGGGGTGCACGGTGTGACCTCCGGTGCTTAGGGGCCTGACATGTAGTGGCACCGAGACACATGTGCTGAGTTAAGGACTGTCATTCCTGCCTCAACTGGGCTGAAGCTCGCGGAGGAAGAGCCTGGACACTGCCTTGCTCACAGCGGCATCTAGGCCTCCCTCCATCCAGGGCCACAACAGGCTCTCAGAAGCTACTGTAGGAATTAATCAGTGGTCCGGTCCGGTCCCTGTACCACACTGGACTACTCGAGGCCACGGCTGGTGTCCACACCTGTCTGCCTCCAGGGCCCTCAGGCACAAGGGGGCGCTGGAGAATGCGACAGGAGGTGGGACGATGTCCAGAGCCAGGAAGGAGTGGGTTTGGAGGTGACCTCCCGGGGGACAGTTCCTGGGTCGGGGGGGGGAGGGGCTCACCCTTCTTTAGCAGGGTCCCCAGGACGCGGGAGAGCTCCAGGAGGACAGCAGTGCCACTGCTGGGGTCCACGGCCCCGTGCACCCAGCTGTCCCGGTGGTTTCCATAGAGCACATAGCGGTCTGGGGGGAGGAGGAGAATCAGAAGCCAGAGAAGAGGGTGGGTCAGCCAGGCAGGGGGAGGGCGCAGTCAGGGGGCTCAGAGCAGGGCTGCTCCTGGGGGCTCACCAGGCTCCACAGCCCCGCGGATGATCCCCAGGACGTTGGAGGAGTTCCGCAGCTCCAGGCGGTTGTGCACACTCAGGTTCACCTGGCTGGGGAGTGAAGGGGACGGCAGATGTTGGCCCTGCTCCCCCACCCCCACCTCTCCCGCCGCTCTCTGCCCCAGTGCAAGAGAAACAGGCCCGGGGCGGAACAGGACAGGGAGTGCCCAGAAGTACCAGGAGAGGCAGTAAGGCTAGAGCCCAGCTCTTCTGATTCCTGTTCTCCTTTTCATTCCCTCCCTCGCTCAGTGCTTATCAGATACTTGGTGATGCCGGCACCGCACCAGGGTCTGGGCCAGTGGTCGGCAAACTCATTAGTCAACAGAGCCAATGTCAACAGTACAACGATTGAAGTTTCTTTTCAGAGCCAATTTTTTTAAACTTAAACTATATAGGTAGGTACATTGTTATTAAGTTAATTAGGGTACTCCTAAGCTGGCCTTTGCTAAAAACGTCCTCAATCTGAGGGGTCGACCTCAGCGAACGTACCCCCACTTCTTCTATCGCCACTTCTTCAAAATAGACTTGCCCAGGCTGAAAACTGACTTCTGCGCATGGGCCACGAAGTTTCAATCGCACTGTACGTGTGCGCCCGCACATGGTATTTTGTGGAAGAGCCACACTTAAGGGGCCAAAGAGCCACATGTAGCTTGTGAGCCGCGGTTTGCCGACCA